GCAAGAACAAATAAAAAGGAGAGGAGCAACACCAAGGATTTGTCTATCCCGGTATAGGTACCCGGGTGTGTGTAGCCTCTGGCATGGCAAGGTTCTGTGCCACAGATTTCCAGTACAACGGCCACGGACAAGTGTCCCACTGAGATGCGGTCGCTCGCCCGGACCGCTCCGACGCGGACACCTGCGAAGAGCAGCCTGTGACGTTTATTTTTTTATGACAGAAAACTGCAAAAAAAGTTGGGCTTGTCCCTCTACCCGTCGCAAAAGCGCCATGCATGTGTGACCGGCGCCTAAAGAGCCGCAGTGTAATGGTGGAGGTGACTCAAAATAGCACGTTTCCTAAGCACATTGTCTCCACAGTTTTACAATACATGAATACAGTGTACACAAATGTCGATCCAGCTTGTATTACTGATTGCGGTTATCAAATTGTTGTCTCCTCGCCGTTTGTTTCCTAAATTTAATAGTCTTTAGTCCTGTACACTTGTAGTGACCTGGTTCCATAGGACTGTGCCGAGGAGCTGGATGGTCAATCGACCCGGAGGAACGGGCCATAACGGAACTAATACCGGTACTTGGAGAAGCTGCTGTGCTGCTCCCTGGGTGCGGTCTAGCCCTTTCCCAAAGATGCTCGCCACTTTTTTCGCAACTTTTCGTTGTTTAGGAAGAAATCGCAACCTTCCCAACTTTCGCAACTTTCTTCATTTTCGCGAACTATTTCGCAACTTTTCCGCAACCTTAGCGCAATTGGTGCCATGGCATGGGGTCAAACGGTCAAGTCACCGACTCATCGACTACATGTCGGACAAATGCAAACTCGTACTCACTCATTTCTCGCCTGCCTTCAGACTGATTTCAGAGAAACAGTAGATCAACGGTAGTTGTGATAATGTCACATTGTGCACTGAAGTAATAGTTCCCCTTTCCTTGCACTGGAATGATGTACACGTAGGATACATGCAACAGGCTACTGGCACTGTGTAAAGTGGTGGTTCACCGCAGGAGGGGGTGTAGATCTACGAGTTTGCTGTCGATGCAGATGCACCGTAAGTTCTGCTATTTCTACTCCCTTTTGTGTAGTTTTTTGCACTAGAATTCTCCAATTCTAGCAACTTTTGAGCTTTTTCTGAAAATATGGATGCGATTTCAGTAACTAGCACTTGTTTTGGGACGGTTGCGAAAAGCATAAGTTGCGAAAAATGATGGCATCTTTGGGAAAGGGCTAGTGCGGTCACCCCATAGGAAGAAGGCAGCTCGGGAGAACAAACAACGACGGACAAATGCGAGGAGCTTGATAGTAAACATGTCCTCCAGGGTGGTGATGTGGAACTGTTGAAAAATCGGGCCTGTGCGCGACCACGGTGGAAGACCGAAGAAGCCACGGATGGCGCACTTCGTTAGTCGTGTCTGGAGCTCCATGTTGCCAATTGCGAGGGATGGATAAAATAATGCATTTGAAGCGTGCAACTTACCCTGGATCATCGACCTGTAAAACAGGCTCTTTGGCGCCAGGCTGAGGCTTAGGCGGCTCCATCCTAGGCCTTTGCGGATCATGCCGGCAGAAAAATTGGCAGAATTCGATACTTTTTCTGGTAAGTTTTATGCATGTTTGGTATTATGGATAAAGAAATGGAGCAGAATTCGAGGAATTGCCCGCCATAAGGTTTGTATGGTTCTGCCAATTTCACTGCTTTTCGAGCAGAATCTGCCACCTTTTCGAGCATTATCCGCCAATGCCTACCTGAGTCCATCCACCACAGCGGCCCCTACTGACTTCCGTACCTGCTCGATTGTGAGGTTGCCGTGAGACTCCCAAGACTCGAGAGCCGACCATCTACCATGACACCCAGACACCGCGCTTGTTGCACAACTGCTGCAGTCCCACAGAAAATAATTCGTATGTCATATGTGGCCGGGGGGGGGGGGGGGGGGCTGGGCCTCTTGGCGTAATCAACAGCGCCTGCGTTTTCTTCTGGTTCAGCCAGGCAACACCGAAGATTACGGATGTACAGTGTGAACAGGAGGGGGGGGGGGGTGCAGGACGGATCCTTGAGGCGCCCCTATAGACTGCACGCGACGTGAGCAATTATTTCCTGAGAGGTGAAAAGAAGGAGAGGTGACAGTCAAGTCGCAGTGACGGCAGGCGGTATACTGTGGTAGATTATTATTATTATCAATCGCCCATCCGCGTTGGCATCGGGAAAAATAAACAAAAGTACATGTACTAGTAACAGCAACAGTGCTGCCCTCTCCCTAGCTTTCGCTCAGGCCGCTCACTTGAAAGGAAAATGATATAGTGCCTCGGAATAGAATCATGAGAGGTGAACAGAAGGAAAAGAAGGAAACAACTTCACCACGGCACAGGTCCTGCACTATAAAACCTGGGGTAAGCGACCTCTGGGTTTAGCGACCACCTGCTCTTAACGACCGTTTCCCCTTGCACAGACAGTTCTACCCAGACACTGTGGGACCTGGCTCAAAAGACCACCTGGTTTTAACGACAGCTTTTGCTTGCATCGTGGGGTGGTTGCTCAAACCAGGTTTTACTGTACTACTAAAATAAACAACAGCAACAGTGCCGCCCTCTCCCTAGCTTTTGCTCGGGCCGCTCACGTAACGGTCGTTGAAGGAAATAGTGAACTGAGCTGCTAAACAAAACAGAAAGCAGCTAAAGGCTTTTACGACTCCCTGAGTCCCTGGGCACAACAGCCTGACTGATGAGGGGTAATTCCCCGAAGCGGCGAAACACTGTGTACCTGGTGTACAGTGTCAGTGTATTGAGCTGGGAGTGGTGCTTTCTTGCCTTAAATCTTGGAGGTTTACCGAGTGGAAGGTGGACTTAGTTCTCGTGTGCCCTGGAACTTTGGCTGGAAGGCAGCCATGAGTCAGTCAGTCAAGGGTAAAATCAGCCAGACAGGTCGGCGAGAAAAGCATCATCTCCAGGGTGGGAGCAGCCAACTACATGACATGATTGTATTACTTCCCTATGATATTATCGCCGAGGTCGCTACCCCTATACCGTATATTGTCACAAAATGAAAAAGCAAAAGCAAAGCACGATACTGATGAGTCATAACGATTACGTACAACAGTTAGCGCGATAATGACTGCTGTGGTACTGACTGAGAGAATAACATTATAACCAATATATCGGATATAGCGATAAATCTAAGAACATCGCCACACAAAAAGTGCAAGAAGGCAAAACCAATCAGTGATGGCAGGCGGTATACTGCATACATCAGATGTACGCGTATGTCTAGCAGTAGGACTCCCTAGTCGAGCTATAACCAAGACTGCAAGAGTACATAACCCCTAGGCATATGCGGATAAATAATGATAATGCCGGCAGAAAAATTGGCAGAATTCGGTACAGTTTCTGGTAAGTTTCATGCATGTTTGGTATGTGGATAAAGAAATGGAGCAGAATTCGAGGAATTGCCCGCCATAAGGTTTGTATGGTTCTGCCAATTTCACTGCTTTTCGAGCAGAATCTGCCACCTTTTCGAGCATTATCCCGTTTTTATCCGCACACCCCTAATACCCCCCCCCCCCCCGCGGACTATGTACTCTTGCTATAACCTGTCTTCCCGTATTCATGCATTCTCTCAGCAAGTGCTTTCTCCTATACACTCACTACAATGTAGACAGTTGTCTAAAGACCCTTAGGTCCTTAGGCTTAGGCTGCCTACAGTGCTCAATGTCCAGTGGACAGAGCCAGTGCACTACACTACATGTCATGTAGATCTACAATGATGGTCTTCCAACCCCTTGCCCTTGGCCTTGGTTGCTTCTTTTCTTTGTTATTGTTTTCTTTCTTCAGTTTGTACCTTTGTACTCTTTTCTGTTTTTTTTTCAAAAATGGAGGTGGGCGACCGAAACCGAGCTGCTGTCTCTGCTGCATTTACCTTTAGACTCGAAGACGACTGGCCAACCCAGCACATGTTCTATATACATGTGGGGAACTTCAGGAGTAGTGGAATTGCAGTTGCTGATGTCCAGCAGATCTACTGGCACGGCCGTCGTGGATTCTGTTCCGTGACCATGGTGACCAGGCACTTGTAGGGACCGGCGGATTCTGCTCGAAAAGGTGGCAGATTCTGCTCGAAAAGCAGTGAAATTGGCAGAACCATACAAACCTTATGGCGGGCAATTCCTCGAATTCTGCTCCATTTCTTTATCCACATACCAAACATGACATGAAACTTACCAGAAAAAGTACCAAATTCTGCCAATTTTTCTGCCGGCAGAATCCGCCGGACCCTACCAGGCAGCAGGGCTGTACCACCCGGTCCGAGCATTCAGGCCATGGCTAGACCTTATTTCGAAAACGTTGACCCACCCAATCCGGGCAAAAACAGGCTTTTCGTCAACAATGCTCAGTTCCGGTCAAGCACCCCATTTGGCCGGACTACCGGTACCTGAAGCCCCTCCCCACCGGGCCCTGGTGGGTGTCAGATGATTTTTTTAAATGTTCACATTGTCAGTCTGTCAGATATCCAGTGTGCTGGCTATGCTGCACATGTACAGATCGAATAATTCTACAGTGCTGCTCAATGAAATCCAGTCGTGTCGCGCAAGTTTGCGCCCTGCATCATTTCCCAGCCCAGTGTTCACAGGTCTAGGGCTGCGCGACACCCGGCGTGTACTTGAGTGACGCGACTGGATTTCATTGAGCAGGACTGTACATGCACAGAGTATTGACATTGATAATTATCGTTTCTCCCGAAGGAGTGTCGTTATATCCAATCTGCACTGCATCTTCGATCTGTCACTAAGCCGATTTAACATTTAGTGTGCACTTATTTATATGTTATGCAATGATTATGTATATTAAGATGACAGAAATCCATTGCAGATGTGCATAGACATGTGTCATGCATGCATAGTTCAAGCCGAAAGCCAAGCACAACAACTACACCGCTGCATTGCGGTATGTACATCGTACTGCTGCTCTGCAGTATGCAGCAGCATGAAGCGACCCAATCTCTACAGTGACATTTCGTCTTCTCCCGAAGGATTTCTTGCATCATAAAAAGTTCTCAAAAAAGCAAAACAAAAAAAGAGCGCAGTGGGTGGAGGTGATACTCAACAAAAAAATGTGTATTAAAAATCTCAGGCGTGTATGCATGTGTGTGTGTGTGTGTGCCGGTGTGTGTGTGTGTGTGTGTGTGTGTGTGTGTGTGTGTGTGGCAAAATTTCGTCTTTTCCCGAAGGAAGCGCATCATTATTTCTTGCATCTTAAAAAGTTCTCAAAAAAGCAAAACAAAAAAAGAGCGCATGCGCAGTGTAATGGTGGAGGTGATACTCAACAAAAGAATGTGTGCTAAAAATCTCAAGCGTGTATGCATGTGTGTGTGCATGCGTGCGTGTGTGTATGTGTGTGTGCGTGTGTGTGACCCAATCTCCACAGTTACATTTCGTCTTCTCCCGAAGGAGGCGCATCATTATTTCTTGCATCTTAAAAAGTTCTCAAAAAAGCAAAACAAAAAAGAGCGCAGTGTAATGGTGGAGGTGATACTCAACAAAAAAATGTGCGTTAAAAATCTCAAGCGTGTGTGTGTGTGTGTGTGTGTGTGTGTGTGTGTGTGTGTGTGTGTGTGTGTGTGTGTGTGTGTGTGCGCATGTGCATATGCATGCACTCATCTCAACAACCTTTCAAGGTGCAGTAAGTAGATCAAGGTCAAGGAATAAGCAAATGCATGTCCACCACGTGCCGTGCGCAGCGGAGGCCAGCGACTGATCCCTGACACTTATAGTTTTGTCCTTAGACGCAGGGCATTAGTAATGGGTGGGAAAGAAATTTTTTGTGTTTGATCAAGATCAACTTCTGAAAAGATTAAATTGGCCGAAACCAGTTCAGCCAAGCATACACGTACACTGACGCTTACATATCAAGAGGCTCTTAACACGTGTCCAAAGCAACACGCGCGCGTAGCCTGCCAGTGATCAACACCGTCACTGTTGTGTGCGTCGCAGTGCCAGTCTGGGCCGTGTACTACCTCTGGACGCTGACTCCGGCTGTGGGACAGACCTGCACTATTCCTTGCCAGCCTATCGGGTGAGATACACACGCAAAAGCACAGGACATTCATTGAGTGAAACAAGACTGGGTTGAGAAGCACGACGATGACGTCAAACACACGTATACATAATTATACACAAACATCCACATACGCCCCCCCCCCCCCTCACACACATGCCCACACATACCCATGCGTTCACACACACCATACACACACACACCACACACACACACACACACACACACACACACCACACACACACACACACGCGCACGCACACACACACACCCACACATGAACACAGAGGTTGCACTCAATCATGTATCTGCTTCAAAGCTCATAGTGAAGACTACAACTCGTACACTGCACTATTGCCAATGTGTGGCGGCGTGGAGGTCGATCATGCAACGGGTGGGACACTTCAAATCATGTCAGCCATTTATCAAGAGTACCGAAGAGTACCGGCCTAAAAGAAGAGTGTGCAAGTTTGGTCCATGGCAGAATTCCATCTTGTCCTTACATTTATTTTCAAAAGGCATAATGCATGCATTGGGTGCTGACCTGCATCACTAGTGCCATTTTCAGTAGGATTTTTTAAAACTTAAAAAAGTCATTTTCCCCGCTGCTGTAGGTTTGGATCCTACTTGTTGTGCAAGTTTAGTGAAACCCGGCCAATGGGCACACCATCATAGACTCACAGCAAATTCCTCATGCGCTCGTGACCTCCCGACAAAATGACGTCAACAAAAAATCCACCGCGGCCGAGCCAAGCGGAGTTGCACATTGCTGTTAATTTTATGGTCTTTATCTTACCTGAGGTGCGGTCTCTTCCACTGATGCCAGTAGCGCCTTGTTCAGATCACATTCCCACTGCAAGTTCTCCGCCTTTGCAACTGCGTCTGCACACTCTGCTTTCAGTCTGTTCACCTCCGCATTCCTTTCCTCTAGAGCATCGGTAACGCTCTTCAAGGCTGCCGTTTGATCCTCCTCCTGGGTAGTCTTATCCCGCAGGCTAGCGTTAAGGGAGCTGACGGTGGAATTGTGTCTGCTGAGTGTCGTGTCTTGCTCTTCGAGCAGGCACTGTTGGGCCGTACTGGTTTTGGCAAGCTGATCCTGTAGGGCGGAAACATCTTGGTGCAGAGAGTATATGGCAGCCTCTACATCTACGAGTGCGCCCAGTACTTGCTGGGCCTTCGTGTTGTCATCCTCTTGTCGTTGGTCATCTACCGGGTACTGTTGGCCAGACTCTGACCCATGCTGAACTTGAGGCTGTGTTGTGGCCTCGGTCAGCTTCTTTACCTGGGCTTCTATTTCCAGGCAAGTTTCATTTAAAGCAGACCGCTTCTCCACTTCTTCCTTGTATTTTTCTGACATCTGAGCAGCAGCCATCTCTACACCCTTCGTGCGAGTTTCACTGTCAGCCAGCTTTTCTTTCAGCCGGTTGCGCTCTGCTTGGTCGGATTTTGTTGCCAGCCTCTGCTCCACAGCTGTGGTGTAGGTACTTCCACCCCTCGCTGTCAACATTCCGCTCATGAGTGCTTCGCTGGATGGCCTGTAGACTGGTTCCTGTGACAAGCAGGCTTTCAGCAAGTCAATGAAGTCTTTAGGGCAGCCCTGGGCAGAGAGTTGCTCTTCCCATGATAGATCATTCGGCGACGCTGGTAACTGGCGCAGAAGCACTTCCACACCCACACATCCGGCTGCGTAGACATCGACAAGCAACGAATACTTGGGAGCTTCACCTTCAGCCCTGGGAGAATATTCTGGAGCAGTGTACGGGGTTGCCGGTGTGAACAACATGTTGTCCGCAAGCTCCAATGACCACCCCGGGGCAGTTGATTTGGCCAAACGGAAGTCGCCAATTTTGGCAGTGGGACTCTTGCATGGATCGTCAGATAGGAACAGCAGAATGTTGCTGGATGAAATTGCTCGGTGAACAATACAGCGCGCGTGCAGATACGCTAATCCATCGGCAAGATCAGCAAGTATATCCACCGTCTCCGCAAAGTCCAGATGCGGCTGCTTTCTGTAGCGCTGCTGGAGGGACGTGTCAGCTAGCTCCAGGACGATCCCTGCGCATGTCACGTCCAACGCCAGGATGCCATAGACGGTCAAGACGTTCGGGTGTCGCAGTGTTTTCAGAACGCTGTACTCGCGCCGCGTCATCCTGTCACTGCACTCGGACTCGCGCAGGCGCTTGACTGCGACGGGAACGCGGCGCCAGGTTGCCTTGTCGACCATGCTTCCCTGGCTGCTCTCTCCAACGGTCTGCTTTGCCATATCCAGCTCTGAGTGCTTTATAATCACGTCGGAACCACTTTCAGCAGCAAATGCCTGCAGGAGAAAATATGCAAGCACAGCACATACTTGTACATTGAAATAACCTTAGTCGGCTACTATAAAGCGTGAAATTTTCGCGGCGTTTTTAGTTCGCGTTTTCAGAATCCGGACAGGTTTGCGAGGTTTTAATTTTGCGATTGCAGAATGGCATTCTTGCTAAACCTGTGGCATTCTTGCTTAACCTTTCATGGATCTCCTTTTCGCGCTGTCTAAATTTCGCGATTTCCACGCGGTCGCGAATTTCGCAGAAATTAGACCATCGCAATAATTTCGCGGTTCAGTCTTTACAGTATAGACATCATGACCCCTCACCCCCATTGGATACGACTTATTTTCGGAGAACTATGGTACTTTGAAACACAATTACATGTACACATATACATGTAGCAGCGAAACACTAACAACACTGACAAGCGATACAGCAAGCGTCCAATTAATTTAGCAGAACTGGTATTAAAGGGGAAGTTAGGGCTAAAATCAAAATTTCACCAGTTGTAGTCTTCGGGGTGCTGAGTTGAATGGTCTTGGTCCGAGGAAGCTGAGACGCTCCCTTCCTACTTTAATTCCAATCGAACTCGCGCACTTCCACCGAAACTGGGTGACTGTGCCCTACCAGATGGGGATTTGTATGCAAAATGTCACTAAAGGCGCCATTTCGTTCTTATAAAAGCATAGATGACCGCGGTTGGCCCATATGTTGTAGTCTTTTGGACGCTGAGTCGACTGGTTTTGGTCCGAAAACGCTGTGATGCAGCTTTCGGCCCATATTCCCAATCGAACATGCTTGAACAAGCGGTCACATGCTCCTGCGTACACCAGTCACCTGGTCACCGTGCCTGCAGGGTACAACTTACAGCCTGTTTTGACCTTTTTTGGGTGCAGTCCTGTCACTCGAGTTGAACTCGAGTTTAACCTTGGTGTGAAAGTTGTCGCCTGCTGGCACTGTGACCAGGTGACTTGGGCACGCAGGAGCACGTGACCGGTTGTTCAACCATGTTCGATTGGGAATAAAGGAGGAACGCTGCATCGCTGCTTTCTCGGACCAAAACCAGTTGACTCACCGTCCAAAAGACTCCAACGTATGGGCCAATCGCGGTCATCCGTGCTTTTATAAGAACGAAATGGCGCTTTTAGTGACACTTTGCACACAAATCCCCATTTAGTATGGCGCAGTCACCCAGTTTTGGTGGAAGTGCACGAGTTCGATTGGGATTAAAGTAGGAAGCGTCTCAGCTTCCTCGGACCACGACCATTCGACTCAGCACCCCGAAGACTACAACTGGTGACATTTTGATTTTAGCCTTAACTTCCAATTTAATGACTCCACAATGAGTCCACAGACCCCCCCCCCCCCCCCGGGCCCCCCACAACCGTTCCGGTTGGCCAGGTCATTGCAGGACCAACGTTGGTCATTGCAGGACCAACTTTTGACCAACAATGTGCATTAGCTGCCGATGAGGTCCTGTATTCTCCATGAAGTACACAAACTATGAAAGGCTAGCGTAGAATCCCGCGGATAAGCCCATGGGCGTATCTGTTTCACAAGGACATTTCGGTGGGCTTATACAAGAGCATGGGCTTATACGCGGGCATGGGCTTATACGCCAACACCAAGTTATGCTATAGGGCTTGAAAGTGATGACGTCAAAAACGGCCGGGGAGTAGTAAGTTGACATCAGATTTCTATTTTGGATCCACTAAGGTGTGGCTTTGCTATTGCCTCAGTATGTGGGTGCATAGCAACCCACTCATGTCGTATGCAGGGGTGACTTTTACTTCGCCACCAGTTGTAACCCCGCCCCCAGTAGCCAAATCAGTCAGTTTCACTGGCTCCATCACCTTCCTGTGAGTAAGACGGCTTGAAATGCGCTTGGATCCATACAAAAACTGGATCCAAGTGGATCCAGTTTTTGAATTTTTGAAATTGTTGCTATGCTGTGACGTAGCACTTTCAAGCCCCATTGAAAAGTATCAAGGAAGTGAGAAGTACATTGCTGAAAACCACTGTGCAAACAAAAACAATCAAAGCGAGAAATGAACAAAGGAGAAAGGAAGGAAAGACAACGTGATAACACATAACAGCAGTACATTACACCTAGAACATTAACGGCCAAGTTTGGCCGCACTAAACACGACACGTTACTTGAACAATTTCAACCCAATTATACTATCTTTCTGTACACACAAATTAGGCTTGTACAGACGCTGATAGATAGCTTCCAACACTTTTAACTGTAGTCCATAACCATGACGACCACGGCACAATACAGTGAACGAAGAGTCGGAATACGCACCGCAACAATCAGGACTAGCCAAAGATAGTATAATTGGGTTGAAATTGTTCAAGTAACGTGTCGTGTTTAGTGCGGCCAAGCTTGGTCGTTAATGTTCTAGGTGTAATGTACTGCTGTTATGTGTTATCACGTTGTCTTTCCTTCCAAACAAAAACAACCGATGATTGTGCTGAAATGTACGAAAAAACTAATGTGCATGACATGGTATGGCCAAGAGTCCATAATTTATGGACTCTCGGTATGACCTAAGCCCATGGGCTTGTACGATGAAGCTTTGTGATGTTCGAACAAACGCTGGGCTTATGCGCGGGCATAGGCTTATACGCGGGTGGGCTTATCCGCGGGATTCTACGGTATGGTATGTATGGCTGAGCTAATCAGAAACTACTTCTGGCGGTCCTGCTCCATAGGGCTTGAAAGTGATGACGTCAAAACGGCCAGGGAGTAGTAAGTTGACAGCAGATTTCTATTTTTGGATCCACTAAGGTGTGACTTTGCTATTGCCTATGTATGTGGGTGCATAGCAACCCACTCATGTCGCATGCAGGTGTGACTTTTATTTCGCCACCAGTTGTAACCCCGCCCCCAGTAGCCAAATCAGTCAGTTTCACTGGCTACATCATCATGCTGTGGGTAAGACCGCTTGAAATGTGCTTGGATCCATACAAACACTGGATCCAAGTGGATCCAGTTTTTGAATTTTTGAAATTGTTGCTATGCTGTGACGTAGCACTTTCAAGCCCTATTGTGCAAATCCCTGTGTGTCCACGGTGTAGAAAGTACGGATAAGAATACAGCATGACAAACAAATTCCATCGATCCCTAGGCGATCGTTCTGAAGAGGCTTGGCTGTGGGTGTAACTCACTCAATGCATAAACAGTGACCTGGTGCTCCCTGTTATTGAGGTATTGAATTCAGAATGAACCGGGTGGGGGGAGTAACGCGGGGTTTGTATGAATCTCGAGTTGCAGGTTTCCTTACCTCTGTGTTATCAGCACTGTTTTCGATCTCTTCCAGCACTGATTGGAGCAGCTCTTCTGCGCAAAGCCCGCGCTTCGCATCCTTCATGGCTTGCACCAGTGCGCGCAAGCCATGCTCACTACTGGCCGTCATCCATTCCACTATGGCTGCGCGGCAGCGCTCCGAATCGCTACTCGCCTCCGCTAAGCGCGCCAGGTCCGCTTCCTGATAGAAACGTGCGTGACTGTTGTTACTGCCAATACTGGTGCGATCCGGTAGCTTTCTCGCCAGCTCTCGCCATTGCCCAGAGCAATTAGTCACCATCATATCCAGGCGGTCGCTATTCAGCCCAACGTTGATCAGACGCCACCTTCTCTCCAGCTTTTGCTGGATCTCTGGTGATAGTGGTTCGGATTGCGGCGGTCCACAGCCTGACTGTGTAGCCTGCTTGCTACTACTACTAGCAAATAGACTCTTCAGACCGGCTCCGGCCTTGGCGCAGGATGATTTGGCCATAGCTGAAAAGTCATTACCTCGGTTAGACTTATTAGAGGACATCACCGGTCCGTGGCACAGACTGCCAGTGGCAGTGCCACTCCGCAGTCAATGACGGGATTAGTAGGGAGTAACTAACACTATTCACTGAGTAGAGGGATGCAAGGACCTGGAAGGCTGATGGGCATGGGGCTAGTGGTGATAATCTCCCACTGAATGCAAGCGACCTCCTGATTTATACGAGGGCCTGGCAATGGAGATCTATCTAGAGCAAAGAAACGCCCTCCGACAAATCGTCTTGTTGGAGGTCTTCAGGGGAAACATTAAATTTTGTTTGTCTTGTCGACTGTGGTCGTAACACTCTGATATCGTCAATGACGTAATTATCGGGGGTACGGGTGTATGCGTTGCACAGAAACAGACTTTCTTCGCGAAGCTTCGTCTGAGATGCCGGTACGGTCGGTACTTGCAGTTGAGTTGCAGCGTTCGGTCGAAGCAGCTTGACGTCATGACAATATGCATGACCGATCATGCATGTCGAGTCACTTGTCGACCCCATGCCCAGGTCAGGACCCGGGTACCGGGTCGACATACATGACAGATGCATCATGATTGTGCCATCTAAACAGGTAACTGGTTGTCATTCACCGAACGAGTTACGTACTACTATTAGTACAGTCATGTACATAATCAGTGTACCAGGCGTACAGCTATACAGACATTTTCGCAAAGCTGCCCGCGCCCATGACATGGTGTACGTGTGTGAGTCGCTACAAGCTGTTTTCTTCCCAGAACTAGTAGTACTAGTACTAGTAGTAGTTACTCTTTATCCGCGTTTATATTATAAGCTGTCAAAGTCTGCCTGTCCCCACCCCTACCGCAGTGAGCATGGTGAGTGCAGGCGTTCACACACTCACAGTCTATTCATAGGTAGCCAACGAGTTACGTTCGAGCAACTCGAAACGTCGTTGTCACCACTATACACCGCCATCGTTGGTACTGTAAAACTGGTTGCCGGTCACAGGGCCTACTCCTAGGTGTCGATAGTAGACGATACTATGACACTCGTGAGTCGTCGCTGCTGACGATAGTCAGCACTGCGGTTCATTCACGCAATGGCCTACCGTTGTACTTATAAATTAATAGAATGCTCTTCCGACTCATGTCTAGCACCTAGCATAGCCAGGTTGGTATTCAAGTAAGTAAGTTGCACATGTGTTACTCTCAGTCTCAGATCTAGTGCATGCTACATGTATAAGTATAAGTATAAGTATCTCTAATTTGCTAAATCCTATATAATAGGATTTTGGTCATATTTTTCAACTCAAAATGGGTGTGGCATGAGAATAGCAAAAAGTATGTGACCAATTCTTTCTTGCTAGGTCTTAGTAGATATCGAGAGTTGAATAAGATAATTTTTTCAAACACTAATATCTCAGGCTCATCTCCTTGCCCAATATTACTATAGGCCTGTGCCCTATTTTCGAATCCTATATTATAGGATTTGAGATATTATTGGACCTTGTTTTATCCTTAAAACTGGTAGTTTCATGACGGCATGTGCGATATGTCGTCATGAAACCACCCCGTGCCACACCTGCAATGTTCTTCTGCACATTCACTGCTTCAGTCCCATGACAGCAGCTGAACAATTATGCTCAAATTTCCAATTATTGCTGAAAATGGGTGTTCATCAGAAATATTATCGCCCTATGAATCTAAAATGTAAACATTCATGCCTCAAACATATTTACAACTTCCATGAAAACCATTATGCCGTTATTATTGGTTGTGATGACCAATAACAACGGCATAAAAGACACACATTTTCAAATCCTATATAGGATTTTTGGCCAGCAAATTAAGAGATAAGACCAGGGAGTAGTACAACATCACTCCCTGGCTAAGAGTAAGACAGTGCTGGGAACCCGGGGAAGTTTTCCGTAAGACCCGTCACACCCGTCGCCCGGACTGTGGCCCAGTGCAGTGTGGGCCGGCCCTACACCACCCATCAGCCACTAGTTATCATATAGCACTGCAATAGATTCAGTACTAATCTTCGTCATTTGCGAGGGTGGATTCGGGAGTCTACATGCCATCCCCACATTATACATTCTATTTTCTAGCTCATTGACACAGTGACGTGACAGGCGTTTCTTCAACCAGTTCAGGCATTTCTTTATCGTTTTGAGTTTGAACTCTGCACGGCTGATGAACATCAGAACCGCTGGTTGCAGTCAACTACAGCTCTAGAAGCGCTGGAGATCGACCGCACTGTTTGTGGTCAGTAGGTGTTTCTTTCCTGGACCGTGACGAGGAAGGGAGAGGAGAGAGGAAGGAGAGTGAGCGCCGCTTGTGATCTCTGCTATGACCCGGCAAAGATGACTGCACGCATCGCACGATCGGCCAGCGAAGGCACTGGAGCTGGGCGAGCACCGGTCTACCTATATTTCCCTTCTGCTTCACTTCTTCTTCTGGTCTGTACATGCTTGATCCCACTGGTGAGTGACACGTGCAACACGGACTTACATGACCCATTCACATGAGCCCAATATTCTGGTCAGCCAAATGAAGTACATGTAATTCACTCTCGATCTTTATGGCCTTGCGCGCGCTTTCTCTCATCAGTAGTGACCTGACTGGATTATGCTCTTTCCACATTTTGCAAGTCACACACAGACAGACAGACACACACAGACACACACATACGCACACACACGCACACACACACACACGCACGCACACACACACACACACACATACACACACACACACACACACACACACACACACACACACACACACACACACAGACACAGACACACACAAACACACACAAACACACACACACTCTCTCTTTCTCTCTCGCACGCGCGCGCGCGCGCACACACGCTCTTGTGCGTGCGTGCATGGCACGCTTTCCCACTCGTCATTTTTGGTTTGTTACTTCAACGTTCTTGTGTTCGCTTATCAAACTCTTGTCTCCACACTGCTCATCTTTTCCTCACCACGCGTCTATTGCTTGGATTTTCTTCCCACGGCATCATTCCACAGACGCCAGTTGCCATGGAACTTGTCCGACTTACGGTATTCATGGGACCCGCGAGGCTCACGCAGTGAACGACTGAAAGCTTCGTTACGGCAGCCTTCATCGCAGAGAACGGACGGGGAGCGCTCCTTTGCTGCTGTAGTGCAAACGTTTACGTCTAGTTTTGATTGACGCATCTAGCTGCTGCAGCATGCACAAGTATGAAGTACAAGTATGAACTTTTTTTTCTTCCGAAATTTCTGAAAACCTACGTGGTCAGTGACGAGAAACATAGAAAAAACAAAGTGTGGCCTTAGCGTGAAAGAATGCCCAAGTTTGCAAAAGAACTACTTGTACGAATGAAATCTGCTGGCACTGCATGCTTGCGGCTGGCCGGAGCAATTGCATAAACAGTATACAGTGAAAGCTGTCTAAGGGGACCTTCAAACCATGGTCTCTGTTACCAGGTGGTCTCCTTATCGTGGCAGGGTCATTTGACTGGAATGATAGCATGCCTTGGGTCCTGATTGTGATGATCCTCTGGCACAGGTGGCCGCCTTATCCCGGTGATGTGGTCGCCTTGATAGGCTTTACTGCACACTCGTGTCGACACTAGCTCTCTCCATCTCCATCTCCTGCACTCAATGTTCCTGTCACCATTGGGTGTACTTTTATTTGTGTGCTTGTTTCTTCATTGCAGGTGGTGACTGCTTCTTCTACCTTCCAGAAAGGTAATGCCTGAGTGAAAGTAAATTTAGAAAGGAAAAGGACATATGGATACGAGTTAAGAGTAACTGCCCATCATTGTAACTAGATACTATATTATACAGTCGTATCCATTATGTCCTTTTCCTTTCTACATTTATTATTGGCTCAACATCCGAGTTTGAAAGTAAATTAGAAATATTATAAGGTCATCGCCGGGTCATCACCACGAGTTGCTTCATGAAGTGTGTGTTGCTTAGCTCTTCCAATGTACCTCTGTGCTAGTGCATGTCAGCCCTATTGACTGGCTTCACATACATGTAGTTATTAACTTGGTCACGTGACTAAATTTGTGTAGCAAGTGATCATGGCATGTGGACAGTGGAAGGGACACAGGCCGACATTGTAACAGGCCGACATTGTAACAAGCCGACATTGTAACAGGTGTATTTACACTAGACATCCATGCAGTACAACTATACTCTGTACCCACTATTCGAAGTTCCCGCTCACGGTTTTCCGTTGTAATGAGAACCCATCAGTTGTAGAAGCATGTGAACCATAGATGTAAGAGTTGGCTGGGGGTCGGAACCAACATGGCCATGCGATAGATAATATGATAGTTTTTTCTCACAGTCATGGCGGGCCATAACTGTTTTTCTCCGGGTCAGAGCCGCACCAGGGTATACATGCTGCAGCAATCCCTTCCTGGGGCAAACTGTCACATACCAGTTTGTCTTTGCACAAAGTTTAGGGTCCCTCAGCTCAAACACTCACACCCTGTCTCTTTGCTGCGTACGTCACTTGAAATGTTCACCAAATTTTCGGGCATGGTGCATCATCAGGGCGAAACAGAAGATGTTTGAGCTGAGGTACCCTGATGTGACGGGAAATTTTCGTCATGCCTCTCCTTGCAGTACTCCCTTTTGTTTCTCTCCTTATTATTTAGTTCGCCGTGGTTGGCTACCATCCAACTTCTCATAAATATTGGCAGTCTTACGACGAGCCAGGAGATGTTGAATAAATGAAATAGCAGGGGGGGGGGGGGGCTGCAATGGAGTCTGCGAAAACTTATAAATAAGTGTTTTTATACTCATGACATTGGTGCTCGTGTGAAAATGAATGTTTGCGGTACAAGCCAAAGGGGCAATTGGCCCAGTTACAGTTTTTAAATGATTTTTTGCCCTTTTTACTGTGACTCTGGAACAAGATGGCTCTGAATATCCCGTATGTCAGTAGTGGTCCGTGTAGTGATAGTGACTGCGTTCTTCTTACACCACTTAGCTGTCATATGTTGCATTCTACACATCACTGCATGTGTCGTACTCACACCTTCATGATGTGCTACATTCACACTGCTGTAGGTTATAGTCTCTTGTCATTCCACTATGATTCCAGTGATCATTACATTCTGGCCAGCTCACTACAGTCCGTAGTCCCATGCACAATTGCATGTACACTGTTGTGTGGACTGCAGATCCCAGCGCAGCCTCAGTGAACGGGCCGCTCTGTCCGCGCATTTTCAGCCCGTCACTGGCACACTCCTTCCCGGGATGTCCGGCGCAGGGCCAGTGCAGCGAGAACAGCACCTGCCGCGGCTCAACGGTGTGCTGCAGCAGCTTTCGCCTGACTGGCAACAGCACGCAGCCGGGAGGCTGCGTGGGCCTGGGCTGCGTGTGTCGCAATCTCACAGCACTGTGTCCTACACTGAACTGTGGTGGTAAGCGACAGAAGATCGACAGCTCTGGATGTAGCATATGTGAGTGTGAAACTGCCACATTGCCCGGCTCGTCCAGCACTGCCGTGCCGTCAATATCCACAACAGGTATGGTCGTTCCAATATTTGTGTATGCATATGTGTGTGTGTGTGTGTGTGTGTGTGTGTGTGTGTGTGTGTGTGTGTGTGTGTGTGTGTGCGTGCATGCATGTGTGTGTGTGCATGCATGGCAAAATTGTGTGTGTGCGTGCATGTGTGCATGCGTGCGTGCATACATGCGTGCATGCGTGTGTGTATGTGTGTGTGCATGAGTGTGTGTGTGTATGTGTGTGTGTGTGTATGTGTGTGTGTGTGTGTGTGTGTGTGTGTGTATGTGTGTGTGTGTGTGTGTGCATGTGTGTGTGTGTGTGCATGCATGGCAAAATTGTGTGTGTGTGTGTGCATGTGTGCATGCGTGCGTGCATACATGTGTGCGTGCGTGTGTGTATGTGTGTGCATGAGTGTGTGTGTATGTGTGTGCATGAGTGTGTGTGTGTGTGTGTGTGTGTGTGTGTGTGTGTGTGTGTGTGCATGAGTGTGTGTGTGCATGAGTGTGTGTGTGTGTATGTGTGTGTGTGTGTGTGTGTGTGTGCATGTGTGTGTGTGTGTGTGTGTGTGTGTGTGTGTGTGTGTGTGTGTGTGTGTGTGTGTGTGTGTGTGTGTGTGTGTGCATGTGTGTGTGTGTGTGCATGCATGGCAAAATTGTGTGTGTGTGTGTGCATGTGTGCATGCGTGCGTGCATACATGTGTGCGTGCGTGTGTGTATGTGTGTACATGAGTGTGTGTGTATGTGTGTGCATGAGTGTGTGTGTGTGTGTGTGTGTGTGTGTGTGTGTGTGTGTGTGTGTGTGTGTGTGTGCATGAGTGTGTGTGTGTGTGTGTGTGTGTGTGTGCATGAGTGTGTGTGTGTGTGTGTGTGTGTGTGTGTGTGTGTGTGCATGAGTGTGTGTGGGCGTGTGTATCTACATGTGTATGTCATAGTCTTCTGTGGAGTGTGGATGGAGCGAAAATTGTCAAACTTCTTTTTTTTCAGTTCAAAGGACTTTGCTTCCTGAGACTGTCCTAAGCACCTGATCGAGTCTTGGATCTATCTATCTGGTGGTTTCGGCCTTGTCAATGGAGGACATGCCATTCATAGGTGAAAAGATGGTACACAGGTTTACTTGAACCCATAGCACAAAATACTTTCCATATTTCGATCAAGGTTTTCTTTATAATTATGTACTTTAAGATCATCACGTTGTCTTGTTTCTCTCCGGATGCAGGTGGCTGGATAACAGGTGGCCAAACGTCGGGCAGTGTGAAGTTTGCGCTGATCGGCAACACAAATGCGTCAGAGGAGATTGCGAAGAATAGATCACGGTTTGATCGGTGAGCTCTCTTCCGATAGCTTAGGCTGATACGAAGACAATAATCATACACGGAGCCACCGTTGATGCATTTTTAAAAGTAGTTCTAAGCAATGTTCTTGTTCTTATTCTGGAATAGGATTACATGTGTTTTTCATAAGTAGCGACAAACCTCCACTGAGGAGCTCGAGCGAAACAGCTGTCTGGAGGATATGGAACATCTACCCAAGAACGAACTTCCTCGCTATGGTGTGGTGTTGTGAATGTGGGCCAAGGGCGCAGTGTGGAGAGGTGGACGGGTTAAGATTGTGTTTTTCATCTGAATCAATAATGTCGCTCACAGGTTGCTGTGGCACCGCAATGCATCATGTTATGGCAGTGCACACGGGGGGGGGGGGGGGATGGATAAGATGTTGGTCCATTGTGTGTGTGTGTGTGTGTGTGTGTGTGTGTGTGTGTGTGTGTGTGTGTGCGTGTGTGTGCTGTTGCTGTTTCTGGATTTGTTCACCAGAGCTTTGAGCGAGCAACTCACGTACCAGTTCAACTTGACTTTTTTTGGCAAGCTAGAGAATTTAACGGTGAGATTCACTGGACACGGGTAGGCTTACCTGCTGCACCATGTTGGCTGCTTTCCTGGTTTTGGAGCATGATGTATTATGTCAAGTCCATGGCTGTGTGCGGTCCCTGGAAATTGCCTGCTCAGCCAGAGGTTGCGCCGAATGTAGAGCAAAATTGTATTGCTCTAGATCACTTCCATATACTGTAAGTATACAAATATTCGGCCCGTTCAAATTTCGGCCTCCCAGGGCTAAAACCCATTTCGGCCGTATCAAATGTGCGGCTTGTTCTGCTGCCGCCTGTCTACACTGTCACACTGAACATTGCAAAACAAATTTTCGGTCGCAGCAAATTTTCGGCCAAACATGACCAGGCCGAAAATAGCCGAAAATAAATATGCGCCGAATATTGGTTGACTTACAGTAGTAATCGTGCACCCCATTGGATGTGTTCGATTTGGGTTGGGGGGGGGGGGGTAAAAAGATTGTAATATAATTATTATGATAAGTATGTACAAGGATGTCATGCATATTCATCAGTACTTCAAGTACTAACTTACTTTTCCTTACTGGTCACGGTGTTGATTTTCGTGTTGCCTTTCAGGTGGAGTTTCTGTGCTGTACAGCGGAGGGTAACAGCTACCTGCCGGTCTATTTCGACCTGGCCTGCGCGTCACCACTGCTTTTCCAGCTCTACTCCGATAGAATACTAACAGCGGTAAGCTAGGACTACACTTACTCTTCTGCTCTAGGCGACCATTGTACTGATAAAGAAGGCCGTAGCGCCCGGTCCGTCCATTGTACTGATAAAGAAGGCCGTAGCGCCCGTTCCTTCCATGGTCTGACCATTTTCTTTCACAAAGGTCGACCTACCCAGTTTGTGAAAATGGTTTTTCTTTCAAAACATGTTCGTTTCTGGCCAAGTATCCCATTCGGCCAGACCACTTGAAATCCGTGTGCTATGGCTCTGTAAACATTGACTATCGGATTGAAGAATGGGCCTCTTATCGGTGTGGCATGACCTCCAGCTATGAAAACTGAAGAAATTTGTGTTTTTCTAATTCCTTTCATAGGCGCACAGCAAGCGGATCTCTTTCATCTTTCGAACCGATGATGGCGGGCAATGGCAACTGACGTCCGGATATCTCATCTCGGATTCGACTCCAACTCCGCCAATGAAGGTCACCACAACGGCAAGCGTCAGCCAAGAGCGTAGTATCATCATCTACGCGTGCTCTGGCGTTGGTGGAATTCTAGTCGTTATCATTATCGTCATGGTCATCGTTCTGGTAAGTTTGAATGGAGCACGCACATGGGTAAACTGGGATGCTGAATTGGCAGACCTGGGCCCTAGTCGGGAGTCAGTCACTTCTCTGTCTCTCTAGCTCTCTATCTGTGTGTGTGCATGGGTTTGTGTGTCTGTTTGTCTGTCTCTCTCTCTCTCTCTCTCTCTCTCTCTCTCTCTCTCTCTCTCTCTCTCTCTCTCTCTCTCTCTCTCTCTCTCTCTCTCTCTCTCTCTCTCTCTCTCTCTCTCTCTCTCTCTCTCTCTCTCTCTCTCTCTCTCTCTCTCTCTCTCTCTCTCTCTCTCTCTCTCTCTCTCTCTCTCTCTCTCTCTCTCTCTCTCTCTCTCTCTCTCTCTCGCCTCGTCCTCTACACTTAGCTGTGCTGCCGTGTTCACTCTGCTCTTTATGATGAGCTACATGTGTCTGGCTAGTACTACATTATCTCATATCAGGAGGTGTCGGCCGGTGGACGGGTCAATGACCAATTGAGATTCCTTTGAACCTCCCCTCAGCCGCGGGGACCCGCTTGACCAGTTCCTGGCAGTGAGCAAGCGCGAGTAGAACAAGTACAAGTGTGTTTGTGTTTGTGTGTGTGTGTGTATATTTGTGTTTGTGTGTATGTTGTTCCTTGCAGTGCAAGCGCTCTAAGTCAGGAGGTGTAGAGGTAAGGAAATTGAATGAGCAGTCATCATAACAAAGGCGTATTCACGCCTGTTATTTCAGTTTTTCTCACCAAATCAAACCATAGCTTTCAGCAAACCACACGACCATAACAGTCATATGCACACTGGGCAACGGGACAGGTACAGCAATGCATTCATTTATGAGTGCATGTTCTCTGCACACAGTTGCAGCCAGGGCCTAACGCTACTGGTAGCCCCAGTCGAATGGTACATAACCGACAAGGAAAATCAATACACAGGCCATTAATTTTACACAAAGGATTTTTAAGTAGCATACATCACAAACATAACTATGTTACAATCTTGTCCATCTCGTCTTTACTTGTACTAATATCCAGGGTGTTGGAGCATAGTAAAATTCGCAGCAATGCCCCAACCCAGGGAGATGTTTTCAATGATTTGCACCAAAAGAGCCCTTATTATTTTACAAATCAAAAAGGGATTTATCTAGGGGTATGCTGATTTAAAAATAATGCTGATGCTGTTAATCTCTGGAGTTACTGATGCAGATTTGGTGGCACTTGCTGCAATGGTTCTGATGAGTCATAGAGGTTTTGCCATCATGCTGCCAGTTTAGATGCCTTGTATGGAACGACAAAACTGTGACATAGTGAACACTGGTTTGCGATTCCATACGTAGCATATACAGTTGTCCCTCTCTAATCCGGCACCTTTTGCTACGGCGTTTTCTGCTGGATTAACGAGGGTGCTGGATTAAGAAATCCTGCCCTCTGACACGGCCCTACCGCATGCATGTATCATATGTACGTCAAAACGCAGGGTGTTTCCGTGTCGACCCAAGTATTTGGTGCACGGCTTTATATTCTCAATTGTTCTCCGGGAATATACACAGTGATAAAGTGATAAAGTAAAACAGAGAACATGTTCACATGTACTCTTGCACACACACGCACACACACACACCTGAAAATTGGCAGGACACTACTCCTTGCTAAAATAAGAAAGTATGGGTGGTTGACTGCCGTTGTCTCCTGGACAACATTGACCAGACTGGTCTAGCCTGGCCTGGCAAGGAGTGCACCTGTACGGTACGCGGTTTACGACTGCCGGATTATGAAATCAAACTACGTGCAGTTTGAGCGATTCGTTTCAAAAAGTCACTGCCGGAGGCGGAATTCAAGTGCCGGATTAAGATGTAGGAATTGAACGAAAAAAATCGGTTTCGTCAGAAAGTGCGCCGGTTGGTAAGGGTTCCGGATAAACAAGTGCCGGATTAGAGAGGGACGACTGTACAATGTTTTAACCTTGTAGCTATCTTGTGTTTAGTGAGGTTGGTAATGCTACATATGCTATTCGAACTTCACAAAAATGATTTCGTTTCCTTTCCTTTGCTACTCAGTTCTACGAGGATCCGGCGCCCGGCGTACGTTTTGATCCGTCGTCGGGCGTCCTCGATCAGACTATCAACACGGCGTACCCGGCCCAGGGAAAATCAAGCCGGGAGCCGCAGCTCGTCTTCGATCAGCCGCTCTACGAGGCGAATCGTGACACTGAGAACCTGGTGGCGAGGCAGTGAGCTAAGCCAGCCTGGTTTGTTGAACTCTTTAATTAAAACTATGTGGACTTGCATACCGGCAGTGGATACTCCTTGGCCCTGGATGCTGTTGTGAGATGTATGTTTCAGATGTATGTTATCATATTTAACAAGCAGTTGTGAAATGCTTCAAGCCCTATGTCGTAAAATTTATTACAGATACTGTGCCTATGCGCCGGTGGCTTGTGCCAGCCTCCACACCGGAGACCAATGGCAGATGCAATGCTTTGATAAGATTGTTACTTTTCACAATTAATGGTTTATGATGAATATAATTATAATAATTATTGCATTGGTAAGACAGAAAAGATGGAGTTTTAGTGCCGTTAGCATTTTCTCACTCGAGATGTAAAGGAGGTGCAGGGTGTAAATAGGAAAGAAATTAAAACATGTTGATCCCAGCACTTGGACCTGCGTACTGTTTTTACGGGTACATGACTCTCCTTCCCGATGCAATAGAGAACTGCGAATGAGATCATCGCATATGCTTTTGTATGAAGTGGGAACAAGTGCTAGTTTCTGTAGAGTAGCAAACAGCCCTGGTGCATGGTTGCTACTAATATTTGAATGGAAATTATTTCGAGTTTGAAAACCATTCAAAAAGTGCTAGTTGTGCGTGGCAAACCAGCACTGTATACGTACTAATGTGCCAGTGTGTCACTGCATGCTCCACTGCATGCTCCACTGTATGCTCCACTGTATGCTCCACTGTATGCTTTCCCACTCCCCACAAATTATCTCAAATAATGATTTGGTCGCCTATTGCGACTGCGCGACCTCTGAATAGTATCACTGTCAGTATTTGACTGCACGTGGAGAGCTGCTGTCCATGGCTTGCCTCTTCCAATCACCAACCGAAGAGGGGACTGAGACCTATGGTCATCAACCACTGCACACAAGTATGTCACTGACAGTAGGGTAGAAGGAACTGACATGTACATGGTTATACAAACACATACACGCCGCTCTATGCGGCGTTTTAAGCACTTAAAATCAGTTGTCAAGCATTATGAACAATATGCATGTGCACACACGAACCGACAAGAAGAGATCATGTCTGTGCTCTGTACAGATGAGTTTCACCAAGGACAAAAACAGTACTGCCCGAAGATGGAGCATACTGAGAAGTTAATGCGCTGCATGCTATCCATTCCACCATGCACGTATAGCTGGTATGTCGCCACATTGTGCCTGGGAACTAGAAAGGCTTTACAAAAGATGAAAGAAGAAAAGTGCATTGGAACTTGTACTGGTGAGCTAGGAAAGAGTCCGTTCAGCGAAATGTAAGTTGAATATGAACTATTTTCCAGGCAAATTCACACTGGAGATAGATGGAGGAAGAGCAATGAGAAAGCCAGAAGAAGGGAGAATTATGTACATGTATATGTATCTGGCGCAGTCAGCAGCGAATGCTCAGTTGGAGATATAGCAGTTGATCCATGTCATCAGGTAGGCGGGAGGACAAACACACGGAGGAAAAGACCGGTGCATCTACCTAAAGGGAAGGCCTGGAAAGCCCTGAACAGATTTCCGTGACTTTCGACTTGATTGACCTGATGTTAGGAGCAGAGGAAAACAGCAACCAGGAGTGTAGAGTGAGCTTTAAACTCTGAATGGAAGTCATCGCGACAAGTACGGGGTATGCCTAGGCTGAAGAACGTAACGCATGGCAGGTGTGTGCTTGCTGCTCAGCAGCCAGTCAAATGATCAGGACTGATGCTCGTGACAGGATGGACCTCTATGAGTGAGCAGCGTGACCTTACCCGGCAATATCCATTGGTTCAGTGTCATGACCAGCGTGTGCTGCTGCTGCCGCTACCATGTCACTCCTGCAGGGTGTATCAGAAACAGCACACAGGCAGCAGCAGCAGCATGCTAATATTAAAAAGAGAAATAATGAGTTTCTCACCTCAAGCATCACCTTGTCAATGTACCGTACAACGGGAAAGGATTAGGAGATATCAGAGACAAATAATTAATGGCAGGGGCAGAGCAAGGTTCTGTAACAATGCGGCAGTGAAAGGAGTCAATGTTACCTGTGGGGTTGGCCAAGGGGCCGCGTAGATTGCCCCGGCATTTTTCCTTCGTACAGGAGGCGCTGAACCATCATCTTCTCTTGCAGCGCTTGCTGGAGACGCTCAATTTGTCTGTGCACACACAACATGGCCAATGGGTAAGCGAAACCGGAAGAAACACAAGCTCACTGCAGCTCCAAAGGTTGGCGGCAAGTGTGGCCAGCAATCATGCTATTTCCCCTGGCACAACACTGTCAAAAAATATTTTTGACTGTGTAGTGCCGGGGAAAGAGTATGTCTGCTAGCCAGGGCTTTTCACTGGTAAGAGAAATCCATTCTTTTTCCATTTCCCTTTTCAACTATAGTAACTTCCACTGCATGTAATGAAGGCTCGCATTTAAAAAAAACTTCAAACACACCATGCCAATGAAGGGATACAGACTCGGAGCAGACATACCCGATGGCAAGGGCTATGCCATTGAAGGTGTCTGTGCCAATGGGGTAAACCAAATACTAGTAAGGAGTTAAGACCTCTTAAAAATCTGGATGCAGCCGTTGGGCAGATTTCTGGTGGATTGTGAAGGGTGATCGGCTCAAAAATATGCCCACGTACTGATAACATTGCGTGCATATCAATGTGAAACAAGTTCACAGTAATGGGAGAGTGTTTCTTCTTTTGTTGCACTGAGTTTCACAGCAGCAGAGCCAGAGTCCCCAGGCAACATTCCACTGGGATAAACTAATTTCCTGTACATGGTATATTGCAGAGTTCTTGCTGAAAACAAAAAGAACTAGCAGGAGGGATGGGGTACAGGGACACGGTGCAAATGTTCTTTTTCTTAGAATTTAGTCACAAAGTTCTAGGAATTAGTCAAAAATTGTTGTACAGGTATGGTACGGTCAACCATGTGCCAAATTCAGCATTTACTTATACAACTACTCACGGTCGGAATTTGTTCCACTGTAACTATCTGAAAACACCGATGAAGCACACAACTTTCTGTCATATATAACCTCCGCTTGCTTTAAATAACCAGAGTGATACACCGCTTCTTGGTCAGGATCAGATTTGTCGTTGCCTGAAGACAACTCACCTTTGCAACCTGACAAGCTCCTTCACCTTGGGCGCAATGGTTGTGCTATTCAATTGACCGTGTGTGCCTGGAACATCCAAGCTACATCACAGGACATGGAAGAGCACCACAATTGCAACGTTTACATCTGTTGCAAGGGAGGTATCCCCAAACAAGCAGGACTAACAAAGGCCGGGAAAGAGGGAATTTCCCTTCTCACTGAAAACCAACTAGTAATAACCTCATCTGCTTCAGACATCGAAATAATTCACCAATAAAACTGAGTATAGATCAGCACAATTATAATTATCACTGAATGGCAGTGACAATGCGAAGGTGAATGACAGTGAGGTACTCTTTTCCTTGTTGTCTATCCATACGCTTTCAGTTCCGCATCAGTCATGAGGCTGCATGCACTCAGTTTTCTGTGCTCGTTTTACATTTCCAAGGTCGCAACTCCACAAGTAGAATATAAGCTTGATGCTGTTCTGTGAATCAGTTAAGGTGTGAAATTTGCAGGAGGAATGCCCAATGACACGGTGACCTGTGACGGAAAGTTATTGCCTCCCCAGGTCTCTAGAGCCCACAACATCTTAAAGTTGCAATGCGAGACGAGTGAACAGATAACAACCTGTGATGGAACATGACTCATTAGGGAAGTTTCGCTCTAAGTAATCACGTATAAAAATCCGTATGTCGCACGCGCCGGGGAGCGAGGACAACTTGCATACGTGAATCTCTCTACGGATTTCCGTAGGAATGCTCTTTCTTACGTTGGGTCCTCCGTAGGACGTTTCGAAACATTTTTCACATTTTCCGGATTGTCCATGGCAAAGTTCAAGCCGCGCGAAACACAAGGTACGCACCACGTGGAAAAATATTGGAAACGTGGTTTCAGTTCGTGTTGCATGTGAGTGGGCACATGCAGCTAACGCGTCTCCAAAGCAACACGGCATGCTCAGCAGTCGCGGAGAAATCACGTCGGGCAACACCCAACAGCGCTGATTTCTACGTATAAAAATTACGTGCAGTTCCTACGTTACTTTTTTACGTAATTACATATAGCGAAACCTCCCTTTTATTATACAAGCTCCGCTGAAAGATCTTCTCATTACCGAGCCATGTTTTCTTACTTCCTCCGTCGAACACATCTAAAAATCCATTCAGAGTTAACGGATATATGGATTTTGCAGAACAATTTTTGGCCAAATCAGTTTCAAATCCCAATTCTGGTTTTAGAACCAGCATGTCTCTATATGAGCCAGAGCACGCCAAAATATGACCACAGACCAAAAATTCGATTTTCAGTTTTTTGTTCGAAAATGATCTAACGCACCTAATGTTCACTGTCGGAAAGTTTTGGATTGATCCGACATGTCTAAGTGTTGCTACAATAGTATTATATGCAGCACTGTTGAAATGGTGAAATTCTATGTACAGCAATGGGATTGTCATTTTTGCACACAATTGATATGCCCCTTGGTTCATCCTTTCCGGGTCAGTTCCTCTGTCCAGGGTCTTATAGCATGAGCTGACAGGTACTCAGCCACATCCAAATTGTCTATAGGCAGCTGAGCTGGGTGTCCAAAATACCTCCTGTTTGGAGCACCACTGGAGAACCGCCAGCGAAAACACAGTCAACATCTGTGAGATGGCCGAAGAAGTTGGCACTCCATGTCCTCTCCATCACACTCCACCTGTACTTTCAGATATACAGTATACACTGCTGCACACAGTGTTCGTCAACATACTAGACGTCGCACTCATATTCCCCACACCAAAGCCCATCTGCACACGGTTTTCTCCACTCGCCAGACAGTACTGCTTTCGCTGCATACTGCTCATGCTAGCGATGTTCCGCATAAGGGTACTCAAATTATCGACTTGAGCAAGTTGAGGGAGCAGCAGAGTCCAGTGATTGTTTTTGCACTTGCAACCAATACTGGCATTGTCCCGGATATGTGCAGCTATGTCCATTCTGGCCAAATCATCGGCCGACTCACCTCCCAAGTCAGTGTCGATGCCAATCGCTTGCCAGGTTGTCATCAGAGTAAAATTCCTCGTCACTGCAGATCGTGGGACTACCAGCATCAATTCTTTTTACGCTCAATGAAAGTGTCGCCCTCAAATGACTCGTCGCTGTATCCATCATCGTCTTCCTTCTGTTTCCGACTCGAATCCTCAAAATATTTTATCCTGCGCAT